CTTCAGAACAGCTTTATGGCTCTTGCTGAAATTTGGCACAGAAGACACGTTCTTAAAGTTGTTTGATGATGATTTACCACCTGGAAGAACGATATCCGCTATTTTTTCAACTAGTTTCTCAAAAACCTTCGGTTCATTCATAATAAACATTTCGCCGAGAGTTGAAAGTTTTCAACATTGCTCAAACATATTTAGGCATAGATAAAGCCTATTAAGCGTCCGTTGGCGACATAGTTTCATTTGTAAATTTGTATGATGCACCACAGGTAGGTAAAGTTGGTAGCGTCAGTTTGCCTAAGCTCTGAAACAACAACGCTATGTTCAAATACAACTTTGTTGCGTGTTTTGCATGCACTATTATTTATTAATATTCATGTTAAATTTATCATTTGCTTCATTCATTTGCTTAATTAACATTTCACGAAAATTATTTATGTATAAATCCGCAGAATTTAATCGAAATGTTTTTAGAATTACAATATAGATGTATTACCAAAGCTTATACAAAGTGGAATTATTTTTTGTTAGTGTTATTTTGTTTCAACATGATATAATTAGAGGAATTGAGTCGATTGAAATATATTTTTTTATTTTCGATATTCGTGAATTTCTCTGTTATAACAGTAACAGTAACTTATATTTTTCCTTATTATTTTTGTTTTAATAGCTATAAACCTAGATTACGTATATAATATTTATATTCTTCTTTCGTATCTTTTATTTGTGGATATTTGTTAATTTACTAATATTTCCTGTAGCATTCCAACTAAGCTCTAAGCTCGGGTTAGGATAAGATTTACGACTAAATTCGAATGACGAAGTTAGAACGCAAAACCACCACATTCACATTATAAATATAATTAAGTTAAAAGGTACTTTTATTTTACTTAGTTCAGAGAATGCAAAGAATGAGGCAATATAACAATTAATGAAGCATGAGCTGATAAAAAACCTAGTACCGGTAACGGCAGACGTAAACAAGACCACCGCATGCGGCATCTGTTTTCAATTATCGAGAGTGGGTCATAATAGACAGCGTTCAATAAAACGTCAACGCCCTATACGGCAGTACATTAAGTAGGTCAAAGTCAATGTTCTATGAGCTTGTCCAGGAAGACCGCCGTCTGAGGCCGCCTGACCGCTAACGTAATACGTCCGCATACACTGGCCACTTTGTGTGTCGAGCACACAACAACAATGATAACTTTCCATTACATCTTGTATTACGTTCGCTTTCCTCTAGTTTATTGATTGCCAGAGATACGAGTGACCTATTAAAAAAATGTATTTGCCATTTATGTGCTATAGTGTCTCGTTTGTTCTTGTCATCTTCTGCTATTGCTTGCTTCTTCTTGCTTTTTTAATTCTGTGTCGTAGGATTTATATAATACCTATAGAGAAAAGATTAATATATTTGTTGGCTGAAACAACGGCGTATAAACAAATGTGGATGGAAGAGACAAATTTCTGTATTTTAAAACCGCTACGACTCAGGACTTGTAGAAGCACGCGTATCAGCATCACAAAGACCGGCAACGCTTCTGCGATTCCTGTGGTCTTGGAGATGTCCATGGGCGTCGATGAACATCTCGGTGTTCTGGAACCTCATTTGCCCTTTACTCTTATTAAAAAAAGCACAGATGAAGTCACGGGAATTAGTATAGTATAATTGTATTTTATAAAAGAATATCTGAACATCGGGTAACATGTAAATTAATATTCCGTTACCGCAGCGGGAAAAACGAAATCTGATGGAATTTCATTTAATCTTATTAATTAGCGTCGACAGCGAAATGTAGCGTAGCCTCAGATCAAATTTCCCTCAGTGTCATTGATGATATTTCGATGTTTCATTTATTTTATATAATTATATTTAACATTTATTGGTACAAATTTAACTTATTATTACTGTGCGTTTTAACTTCAGTTACTCTTGTACTAACAATCTGCCTCATTTTGGACTATAAATACGACGAAGCTAACATTCGACTTATTAAACCTATTGTTAATGCTAAACATCTTATAAACATTATAAATGTGAATTTTTAAACGGATGCATGTTTATTTGAAGGTATCTGCATAATGAGTATGAGCATAGTCTGGAAGAACACATAGGCTATTAATGAGTTTTTTTTTTTTAAATTTAACTTCACCTTATGTTCTCTTGAAAAATCCTAAAACGAAGATTTTTTTCTACTAAGTTTAACACAACTCATTTAATAGAGCTATATGTTTACTAAAATTTTACTACCTTATTTATCATATAAAAATCTTTATGATTCTAATATTTTCATAAGAAATAAATGATAAAAACAAAAATACGTATCAGAATCATCAAATAACACAAGTAGGATTATTTAGTCTCGATGGGAAAATATAATTTTTTCAATCATAAATTTGTTTCATATTTGTAGAATTATCTTCGTCTAAAGTAGCCTCCATCTTTTAGCGTTGTTAGAACTGTTTGCGCATTTTTAACAATTTTATATTTGTTTTTTTTTATACAAAAAAGATTTTTTTTGACGATAAACATTTCTTCATTTATAGCGAAAAAGCTTCATAAACATGTATTCACAAATTCCAACGAACGACAATTCAAAAAGGAATTCATAAGAAAATAAATATAATAGTTCTAAGAATCACTTGTAAATCAAACATTGCGACAGCTAAATGCCAGCTTTTGTAACATATATACTGTGATTGTCAATCATCATCATCATCAGCTCACTATACGTCCCCACTGAGGGGCTCGGAGCCTACCCTAAGTTACGGGTGACTAGGCCATAGTCAATCACGCTGGCAAGGGCGGGTTGGTTGACTTCACACATATCTTTGAATTTCTTCTTAGACATGTACAGGTTGCATCACGATGTTTTCCTTCACTTTAGGAACGTCGGATAAATGTACGTATGTAAATCGAAAATCGAAAAACACATTGGTACATGGCGGGACTCGAACCCAGGACCTGCAGATTGCAAGTAAAGTGCTTGACCGCTGAGCCACCGACGCCCTGATTGTCAATCAATTAAGCGTAAATCGAACGTTGCATTCCGATACAAAGCTATGCCTTTGTTCATTGTAACATTGTAACTACACTGACAGTTGTAGTAAGCCCAAAGCGATGTTTAGAGCGTTTGTCGAATAGACTGAAATGACATGGTGTTAACACAACACCGAATGAATGCCACTCAAACACGTTACCAATTTATTCAGATCTTTTTAGGCATTTCCATTTTTTTTTCGTTAATAGTAGCAGATTTTTGTTAATTTGTTGTTTCTTTTACCATTCCAACTAAGCTCTATGCCTGTGGTAGTACGTGGTTTACGATAATAGTCGAATGGCGGGATTCGAACCCACGACTTCGTGATCGGAAATTCATACTCTAAACCATTAGACTATTGACGCTTCAATGATTATATAAGAGACTGGCTTTTGCCCGATATTTCATCTACGTAGAATTAAAAAATCTAGTTATTAATATAGACTATGTAATTCAGTAATGCATCTTATTTTAAATGAATATTTGAATTCAGCCAAGTAGAGTTTATTCATAATATACAAGTATACAAATTTTCAGCCATTACTGAAAAATGCAATGTACACTTAACTCTCCCACACTAATTAAAAAGATGTGCGATGTTATTTTACTTTAATAAGCACTATACACGAGTTAGCGGCTTTGATAAAACTTTATGTTCCTGCAATTATTTAAAAGCCCTTTGAAAGCTGCAGTTTTCGCTGGTGCAAAAGTTTTCTACAAACATAATGTTGTGTATAAAAGGATTTTTTACAGGAAACTCTAATGTGAAATATTTTACTGATGCATTATTTTATTTAAAAGTTTAATAGCATAATTCCATGCATTATGCCAGTTATGTTTTATTAATTTTAAATTTTTAATCGTTAATTTAATTTTAAAAAGCGTTTTAAATTTTAGCGTGAAGGTTGTAATTATAAAAGTCATTAAGTTCCGTCTTCGCCAGACTCTGGAAGTGCTAACAGTTTCTGTCTAGATAGTCAAGTGTCGTAAAATTTATAAGAACAATTTCTTATATAGTTTTTTGTTCTATTTATAGTGTTTAATATTTTTATTTTATAAGTTATTTTATATTGTATTTAATATTCCTCCCAAGTAGGGGTGGCATCAGGCAAGATGCATGCCATAAAAAAATAAGCCAAAACCATAAAGTTTATAAAAACCTTATGCGCCGACCCTACATGAGTAGGATAAGGCCAGGAAGAAGAAGAAGATATTTTTTATTTCACATGTTTCTGAATTTCGAATACTTAAATTTATAAGTTTTTTTGTATAATATATATACAATTATCAAACCACCAGGGGTACAGAAATGAATAAAGTTAGTTTTATTTCAACAAAAAATTGAATTTCACTTTGTTTGTTTTCTTTCTCTTAAAGAAGACCGCCAGAGAGATTTTTAAGTTTTTTTTTTTGGTAAAACTCATTACGTGAAATTAATTAATGAAATAGAAAATCCCTTAACAACTTTAACAACTTTAAAAGTTTGCATTATATTTCACCACTTTACTGTGAAAGCTTTACTATCCGTAGTTTAGAATGCAAAATTACCTCATTTTAAAGCTTTATAATTATTTTAAACTACGAGAAGTTACAAAACTGTATATTTATTACAACGAATTTGTTTTTAAAGCAAAAGTTAAAAGTAATAAATTTAATCACGCGCGAACCACCACACTGCAGTTAACTTTATATTTGATAACTGGCTGACGGCCTTTAAACTCAGTTGCCGCTACCGTTGTTTCTACAGACAACAAGCACTGTAACTATTATATTTTTAAACAATAATTTTGTTCGCAATTTTTATAGTCTTTTGTTACATTGTATAAGTAACGCGAAATATTTTACATTGTATTTATATGTCACGTATAAATTCGTATTTCTTAATAATTATAACGTACAAAGACAAATAAAAGTATAGTATTTTTCCATGTAAATGTCTATTACCTTAATATATCGTAAAATGTACATAAAAGGAAAGCATTTACTCGTTTACTCCTACACAAAACTTAAATTTTCAAGGGCCGCTTATCGTTTTGCTGAAAATAAAATTGCTATTTCGTGTTCCCATTAGGAATATTATTATTCTATTTTTTTATCTAATTTGAATAAAACATTTTAGTTAAAGTGCATTTGTGAGCTATCCATTACGATAGATGATTTTTTCGCTACAACCCCTGATTCGAATATATTCGTCAGAGATGTATCTGCGTCGGACATGGATTCAACTCTTGACTTCCTTTTGAATATCAATGGCATGTGATTGCATTCATAGCACTCCTGGAAACAGAAAAAATAGGGTTAATTTTATTCATAATGAAATGTTACGTCAACAATCATCTTTGGCGACTAACAATTATGATCTAATCTATCATAATATGAACATACAAAGACATGAAACTCAAAGAACATCGTAATTCCATATTACGTTTGATAATAATTTATTTTATATTTCGAAGCGAAATAACTATTGGCGTGCCTTGGCCGTAAAATAAGGTGATTGCCGCGACAACACACTTATGACGTCACATCCAGCAATACGTAAACAAGCAGACTAATATATTTTTAATAATTACGAATTCCACACATTACTGATTTTTCACAACTGCCAGACCAAGATTTATACTCGTATTTTCTTCTATTGTATGTCTAACTATGAATCTCCACTATGGAATAATTTGTACAAGAACATATTGTCATCTCTTATATTTATTTGATAAAAACAGAGATAAAAATTGTTTCCGTACAAATGTTACATCAATGGAAGCTCATAGTTACGAGTATAATAATCCAACCAGTAATTTTTCCATCATTCTTTTGTTTCATAAAATGTTCACAGCGCTCTGAAGTCTTCAATTTGGAAGTAATCGAGCATTTCTGCGGTACCCGACGATCTATCATACAACAGACATCAGTCAGGTCAAGTTTCACTCCAGTTCGACAATTGCACGACCAATATCGTCAGTTGGAGTTTTCGAAATCATTAAAACAGTTTCAATAGTACAATTTGTTATTTCCTTTTTATTTATAATTTTGTTAAATAAAGAATTTTTCGAAAAATAGATGAAAAAATAAAAAACGCTATCTTTTTTCTAATTTTAAAATATTGACGTAATACCTTGATTGTAGTAGGTCAGAGAGCGTCAATAGAATGCCGCCAGCTTGCAATTATTATTACTTTACAATGTTTATGATAGAATTTTACTAATTAATCTATTTGAACACGAGTAAATTTCTAGTTCAAATATTGCATAACGTCGTTAAATTAAAATTATTTTATAAATTAAATTGTAGTATCATTGGAATGAAGGTAAGTTTACAGAAATTATCATTAAAATCACAGGCATCTCAATAAATAAACATGTTTGCGGTTGCTTTACCTTCTTTTATAGAGAGAATGTAAGAGAAATAGTCGGTTGAATCGACTCGTTAGTTCCACAATAATCTATGCTTGCATTAAATTGTATTGAATCTAAAGAATCTTATAACCACAACCTTGTTCTTGTTTACTCGGTTATTATATTTTATAACTAAAGTAGAAAATTCTTGTTCGTTATATATGTATTATTTTATCGAAGTTATAAAAAAAATCAAAGTTTGTACTATTTATTAGTATATTACGAATGTTATCTTCAATAATATGAATTGTAATAAAAATTCGATAAGGTCTTCTTAAGTTGCAATAAAAATAAACCTTGAAAATTAAATAAAAATTATGTTTTTATCTAAATAAAGTATTTATAGGGAATGTAAAATAGTTTAAATATTATTTTTAATAATCTTTCAAATAAATATTTGAATGATAATTTGATATCACGCAACGAAAACATTTTGGATCGCTATCGAAAAGAGCTCACCGATGGCTGTTTGTAGTTCACTTGAGTTTTGACATGAGTGCATGTCGTTCGCGGTCCGCGTGTCGTTTGAATTTCCATGAAAATGCATGTAACTCGAACGTACCGATTCCAAGTAGGCTTTCAACAAAATCGATTTAAAGCTCCCGAATGATGTGCTTTTAGTGTTATACTTTTGTGTTTTATTTATTACAAAAATAAAATAATATTGGAATTATTAGTTTATAGACAAAAATAAATATTTGTATTAACGATTGAATTTGTAAAAACATTGTAGTACATAAATATAGACATAGTATAATAAATATTTTTTCTCATAATAACACGTGTATACTTATTTAGAATGATTTTTTAAATAATGACGACAAGGATGACTAAAAGAATGATAATGATTCTATCTTTTTATCCAAGTTTTAACAATGGAAACCCACAGTTACCTAGTATCTCTGTTCTCTCAAAAACTCGAATGAAAAGCAAGCAAAATTTGATCAAAAACTCGTCAGACTATTCGACAAAGGAATCATGGCAGAGGTTAAAATGAAACAAGTGACTATAGTAACAAGCTTTGATAGACAAATAAAACACGGTTTGCCCTATTTAGGTCCTAGCTTTGACTTTTAAGAGACTGGACCTATCAAGCATGCAACTTTCTTGTGTGCACGTTTTGTGTATATTAATTTTAGACATAGTCTGTGTTTAAATTTCAAATTAATGTCAAATGCCAGCATAACATTGACTTGTGTAATCATTACCTCAACCGCCACGAAAATTCACAGATATATATTTGCCTTATCCATTTCTTTATAGTCTAAGGGTCCAAGTCATCAAAGCCTTTACAACGTATGACGTGCATTACTGGAGAGTGCTTCGAGACGGGAACTTTACGCGAAAGGAAAATGAACATCGTGCAAAAAGAAATTAATGTTTCATATAAAATGCATCAAAATTTTATTTTACGGTTATTTCTTTAGTAAACAAACTTCAATAACGCTAAAACACAAAATGAAAAGGAATAAAACATATCTATTGGAAGTGTATTCAAGTTAGTCGGGATTATTGGTATTTTTTATCAACGACTATTTTAATAAATTACAATCAATTTTAAAAATGTGTAAAGTAATAAAATAATCCTAAAAGCTTTATAACACAACTACGAATAATAAGACATACGATATTCCTTCTTTGTTTTCTTTATACGATATAACTTACGACTTAATTTAAACCAATGATTCTATTACAGAGTTTAATTTTTTAGCTATAATGTACATATGTGGTTTGTTTGGTTTATATATAAATATATTTATATATAATTAAACATATATTACGCGATTTAAGCATTGAAAGTCTAGCAAAAAATACACAACTCCCTGAGACACTGTTCGATAGAGCGCTTCAATCAACTTCGATCAGTACATGTTAGAAAAAGCGGAAATATATTAATTACTATACCAAACAAAATATATAACACTTCTACCTAGAAGACTGACTATGCGTTGACATTATTTCTGTAAAAAAGAAAATTAATCTCAAGCAGTTTTAAGATTACCTTGCCAATGTAAGGACCCTTTAGTAATGTTTCTATTCTACCCAAAGACGGAAGCCGTCCGTGCTTAAATAATTTTTAAAACATTATTATATCACGAAATAAGATTCATACGTTTCAGTTATTTGCCATATCTTTCAAGTCTTCGGTAGTATAGTGGTCAGTATCCCCGCCTGTCACGCGGGAGACCGGGGTTCGATTCCCCGCCGAAGAGAACTTTTTATCCTTTTTTTTTTCAAGAAATTGTTTTATTTTTTAGATATTGTTCGGTAATTTTGGAAAACACCCCACCATATTATTCCAGCGAGGGTCGAAGGTAAATTTTCGAATAGAAAATTTGACTAGACAAGTAGTGAATACGTATACTACGTTTTATTAATCATATGAAGAGTTTTCATCTACGAAGAAAATTTGAAAATCAGTTACCAAAGATTTTACTTGTAAATTTCATATTTTACTTTTCTATAGACTTACAAGATTCATTTCTTTATTGAAAACATACATTAAGGGAAAACTGTACAAGTCGGTGTACCTCGGTTATATTAACAACAATAAACATTCTTAAAAAAAAGTAATAACGCTATAAGTAGAGAGACGCTACGCGATATCTCTTACACAAGCTACAAGTGCGTTCAAGAGCAACGGCTATCATATAACATCTTGCTCTTAACGTTTATATTAAAATGCATCTTTACCCCTGAATTTAATATTAAATAAACGATTAAATATACATTCTAATGCTTAAATAATATTTTACGTAATCTTTTATTAATAAGAATTTTGTTAATCTCTACATAGTAATAAAATTAAAGTGTCTGTATGTTATATCTAATAAAAAAATGTATTTCGTAGACATAATGTATATACGTAGCTGATAATGACCAATTTTTATTTCTCTGCCTGTTTATATCTGTCCGCAAATCCGTGTTTGTTCCGTGTAATCTCACTAACTTACCGGAATAACTCCAAATGCATAACAAAAATTCGTTGATTGTTTTGTTATTATTACAAACAATTTAAAGCCAATTCTTAGACTTTCCTATAATTATATTCTTTATATTTTAGTCCATCTACAATGTGTTTTGAGTGAAAAATTCATCGACGAATAATTTCGTAGCAAAACTCGAATATGTATTCAGTAATAATTCCCTAAATATGGCTCTAAATATTAATATTACATTAATAAACTTCTTGAACATAATATTCTGTGTAATTCTATGCTCTAAGCCAATGTAAGTAAGAAAGGGTAACTTAAATTTAATTCTAACAGTAATAAATAAATAGACCGGTCCTACCGTGAAAGGATCTTAGTTCTACACAAAATTGGATTATATCTACCACCGTTCGAAACCTGAAAGTAAACCGAATTAAAAAACATGCCGCAGCTGCAACATTTTTTTAACAAATATTAACACTGCGGTCTAGTTCCACGTATACGTAGAATTTTACGTGCAAATAAAAGACATATTTCGATGGCTCCTATGTAACCATTGGAATACACAATTTTGTGTTTTAAATTAACTTGAATTTTTTTATCATAAGGTGGCAAACGAGAAATGGGCCACTTGAAATCGCTGAAATAGCGAAGTGACCGTTGCCCATAGACATATGCTATTGCATATGCGTTGGCTACCTTTAATCGATGGAGGAGAGGATGCACAGAAAGAAAATATTTAAAATTTATATTATACACATTTTTAAAGTAACGTTATAAAGAATAAGAAAATAGATTTTAGTTGTCTATTTATGTTTATGTTTGATGCGTTTTGATCAATCGTATTTATTTTTAAAAATTACTCTTGGAAAATTTGCGTTTCAAAGATAATTTACGTAGGCGCCATAAAATTTATTTTGGCATATATGTTTAAAGAAATTGATAGATTTTTCTACGGAAAGATGCTCTGTTCATTGTTACTTAAGTAAATAAATACCGGAATAGCTTCTGTTATATTTTCATTTGTTTTAATTTGAAGGTAGAATTAATAAATTAGCTATAAGCTGTATAAAACTTGCTTGGAACAGAGATTGGAGATCATTAAATTTAATAAACCAGCTCGGTTATTAACTCTTAAAGCCTTAATTATTTTTGTAGTCTGCTTTTAACCTTTATTAAAATTTTGCAGGAAAAAAACAAACAGATTAAAAACGGACATGCAAACGTATTTAACCCGGACGTCACATTTAAAGCCGGCTTAAAATGAAATTGATTTAAAGCACTCCAATGGCTGTCATAATCTTTTTATAGCATACTATCTGAACCCGGCATGCGTTGGGTTTCCCAATAGTTTAAAATAATCAATTCAACTAATTTTATTGTACGAGCGAACGTTTGATTTAAAAAGTTTATATTTTATTTTATACATATTTTAAGGCACGAAACAGCCGCAATTATTATAAAAAATACTTACTTAACTTTTCTTTAGTAAAAGCATATTTTAGTAGTCTATTCTTGAAAGATAGATTCCAATATTTACTACTCACTTCATTTATCAAGCAGCGGTGAACACAATATTGATGTAATGTTGATACGTCAAATTTTCGCCTTCGAGCTCTGTCCTCGGGTTCAGGAGGTCCATACTTCGGTCTAGGTTTTAAAACTCCCACCAGATTCTGGAAAGCACAATTGTTATCAAGAATTAATATTTCTTACGCACTAGACTGACTTCTTGCTGGTCTAAGGTCTAAATAGAATAATTTTTATTTAAAAAAAAAAACACGAATTAAAAAATCGACAAATTATTAAACACGTAATTATATTGTTTTCTCTTTTATTTTCTAGTAGAGTGAGAGGGATACGCTGTACTCCTGTAGTAGTGTTTAATTTAAGATTTATTTACATCAATGGTTCTCAACCAGTGGGCCGTGTACCACCAGTGGTCCGTAAAAACGAAAATATGTACCTGACGACCAGAGGTTGGAAATCTTTAATTTCCATCATACAAAATGATGAATTTCCAATATAATTATACTCACATTTCGAACGATAAATTTAGCTATAGTTTTGATTTGAATTATTGTCACAAAACAAAAGGAGAATAGGATCCATGTACTGGCCAATATCATTTGCACTTTTTCCGTTAAATGTATTAAAACATATAATTTGTGGACAATGAACAACTGGAAATAAATAAGAGTAAAATTAAAACAAATTTAAAATAATGTTACGCTAAAACATTTTATATTAAACTCGAACAACATGGTAACAATATAATAGAATTCCACAAAAATAACTCATTCAATTAAACATATTGTGGGTTTCCCGTTGGGCCGATGGGATATTGATCATCGGCCCAAACACACTATATTTTCATCTCTTTCATTCACTTTAATAAATACAAAACTTACAAACGTCAAAATGGGATGCATAGCCCAACATGTAGTCCAAAATTGTGTAGGCTTAAAACCCAGTGAAAATTGAATATCAGTTGAAAGCTTTCCAATACCATACAACCACATAACAATGGCAACTTTAAAACCACCTAGATACAACACGGTGAAGTTTATCCCTTGTATTAATCCTATTAGTTTATGTTTCGAAAGCTGAAAAAGACTAAATACATTCAATTAAAAAGAACATAATAAATTAGTTTTTCATTAACCCTTATTGTGGCAAGATTTCTTTTTTTAAAGAAAAGCAAAAAAAAAAAATGTAAAAAAAAAACTGAGTTAAAAATTATTTTGTAGTGATCGTATATTTTTATAAAGTTGTATGTATGGTATACTATACAAAATGAACATAAGGGTTAAAATTAGAATAATCCCAACTATTACATAGTTTTGTTCATGAATTTTGTATGTTTATTTATTGAAGCCTAGCTCTCATAACATCCAATATAATTAACAAAATGTTGCGCACTAAACTAACAATTTTGTGACAATTTAAAAAGCGTCACTAGCCTAATGGTCAAGGATACGGATTTCCGATCACGAGGTCGGGGGTTCGAATCTCGCCATTCGACTATTGTCATAAACCATATCCCTAGCATTAGAGCTTACTTGGAATGGTGAAAGAAATATTATTAAATTTACAAAAAAAACTGCTAATATTAAAAAATATATATATTACTACGTGAATATTAAACTATTCTAGTTTTTGTTATATTATATTTCATATTATTTTTGATTATTTCATCATCATCAGCTCACTATACGTCCCCACCGAGGGGCTCGGAGCCTACCCTAAGTTAAGGGTGATTAGGCCATAGTCAACCACGCTGGCCAAGTGCGGATTGATTGACTTCACACATATCTTTGAATTTCTTCTCAGATATGTGCAGGATGCATCACGATGTTTTCCTTCACCGTAAGAACCTCGGATAAATGAACATATGTAAATCGTAAATCGAAAAACACATTGGTACATGGCGGGATTCGAACCCAGGATCTGCAGATTGCAAGTCAAGTGACCACTGAGCCACCGACGCACATATTGATTATTTAGGAGTACCAATTTTGAAATAGTAATTCAAATTTAAAATATACATTTTCTTCGAGTTCATTATCCTTACGCCATCTATTAAAAGTAATGTTAAAATTCTGAAAATCTCAAGGAAACTTTGAAAACTTCAAATATATAAATAGGTTTCCGAAATTCATCGACAAACAACTTCAATAATTCTGAAATCCGCTAACTTGCTACGATACCACTACACCTCCATTTAAATAGATTTTCGAGAATTAGAAAATTGATGGATAGCTAATTCATCGAATTGCTAATATAAATAATTACATAATACATAATATAAAGTAACACCTGTATACAGTAAAAAATAACATTCATAGATTTACATGTTATGTTCAAGTTTGAATTCGTTAAAAAAATCTTCAGACAGATGGACGGACAATGATCCTATAAGGGTTCCGTTTTTTTCTTGTGAGGTACGGAACCCTAAAAAGTACTGTATATTTCGTTAAGATGTTAAACTTGATCAAATACAAAATAGATATGAATTAATTTGATATAGTTGGTATCAATTTCAGTATTATTAAAACTTACTCAAACTCTATCCAAAGTATCTTATTCAAATTTCTCAATGTCAATTATTTAGTTGAAATGAAAATGTAATACAATCTCGAAACGTAATTAAGAAATCAGATACTTGTTAACGTCTTACAAACAAAGCTTAGTAAATTATATTGAAATTTTCTCATAATAACTAAGAAATAAAGAGCGTCGGTGGCTCAGGGGTTTAAGTACTTGACTTGTAATCTGCCGGTCCTGGGTTCGAATCTCGCCATGTACCAATGTGTTTTTCAATTTTCTAATTAACATACGTACATTTATCCGACATTCTTTCGGTAAAGGAAAACATCGTGATGCAACCTGCACATATTTGCAAAGGAAATCAAAGATATGTGTGAAGTCAACTAACCCGCACTTGGCCAGCGTGGTTGACTATGGGCTAGTCACCCCTAAATTAGGGTAGACTCCGTGCCCTTCAGTGGGGACGTATAGTGAGCTAATAATATGACTAAGAAATAACTTTTCTATAGAAATCTTGGATCCTTATCTATATTGATGAGGCTTTGCACTTTCGTAATCTAAAATGTACACGCAACTACATTTTTTTTAATAGTCGTCAGAACATTTGCAGGTTATTATTATAAAATCGTTGTAACGTTTTGGTGAGTGTACGAACTGGGTCAAGTTTTTTAAACATCAAGATGCACTATGACCTTTAAATTCATTTTATATAACAAAATTAAAACATTCCATGTTGTTTAAAAACTCTGATTTTAAAATATTAAAAATTCACGCGACTTTTTATTTTATCCAGATTAATATTTTTGAAGCATCTATATGAAATATATTTTTTTTGTAGCAATCATTGTTGATATACAGTATGTAAAAAAGTATAGCTTTCCATAATTATAAACTTTTCTGAAAGCCAGGTGATATATGTATTTTTATAGCTACGTTTGAGAATATTGGGTGTCGGCCAATTTTTAACTGCTCCAACAAAAATGTCCAACTCCATCGATCTTGGAAATATTTTACTTCGGAACACAACTATAAATTTTCTAAACGCCTAACGATCACAACCCAAATATAATTTTTGTTTAATTATACACAACTATACATCGCAGCTTAAGTTTTAGGTAAAACTAAACTAAGCCCTAACTATGAAGACACTAAGTAATGTATGTTTTAATTAAGACAGGACTAGACAAAACATATTTCGAATTACATTCAGACTTTGAATACAATAATAATTTATTTAGAAATAAATTCCTAACCCAATATGAGTGATTAACAGTTCATTTAACTGCAAAATGACACGAAGTAACCACATATATGCTATATTTTTATCAAGTGGTCTAGATATTTTTAAATTTAATTCAATAATAGTACGAAAGTGGACTTGGAAATTGGAAGATAACGAATTTGTTATTTATCTGGAGTTATTGTGAAATTGAAGTCAATGACCGTTTTAAGCGAGGCTCAATCGTTTGTGAAGCTGCAACATATTTAAATGACCATTTCAGTATTCGGACGTAAGTGTGTCAGTCTTCAGTTGACAGTTATTTTCCTCTATAAATATGAGATGATATTCAAATTGAATCGTACTAAGTTGTGCAGTTTGTAGCCTCGCTAACATCACGCCTCATATTAATGCCTGTGGAAATTTACTCGCAACGCTGTGACCTATTTGAGAAGACGACGCAACGTAACATGCATATATCAGACTGTATGTTTTTATTCATTTACCTATCATATCTGCACTGAAACTTTTTAAAGCAAAACAATAAAAGAAATAACAGTTTACGCGTACAGCGTATGAAATCGACTACCATTATTCCGATAGTCGTATCGGCGAATTGACTGACAGCGAAAAGATTCGACCAACATCCTAAGAAGCTCTCGCTAAAAAGTTGGATTAAGCGTCCGATACAAAAGGCGGTAATTTTAGAAACCGCACGCATAGTGAGAAGGTCTCAGTCTCGCCAGCACTGACTGCTGTTTGCTTGAGTCAAGTGATACCGCAACCGATGGTGCCTAATTTTTTTATATGCAATATTTATTACTATTATTATTTAATGAACAAGAGTCTTAATTGAATATGTAAAGAAATAAATATAAAAGCAATCTATAGAATACCACATGTAAAAGACATTTATATCAGAACGATTGATTTCCCACTTTGAAACGTATATACAAAAATATATTTTGGGGGTCAAAGTTCAATTCGTATATACTATTTGTAATAAGAGAACCTGGTATTATATAAATAACAATTACCTTTCATACAATACTGTTCATAAATGAAATATAACAATAGAAAAATAAAACAATAAATGTATAATAACATTGTCTGATAACAATTATTAAAAGAAAAACAATAGATATAAGAAAAGGTAAATCGCGCTCAAACAAACGAACCTCTGTAGTTAATTATTTCAGGGTAAACATTTTAATTTGCTTAAGAGCAATTCGAATTGCCGACAGGGTTATTTTGATTGATCTATTTTTACTGAGCTCATTCAAGAAATAAAGAATAAAACCATCAAGAATTTCGGGTAAAGTGTTGTAAAATAAAACGAGGTTTTACTGTGATTGTACTCGAGGTAACCTTGACATTGACCTTTAATGAGGTAACCATGTTTCCGAACATACACCATTTATGTATTTACAATTTCTCATACACATCAGATATTTTTAATATTTTTTTTATATTTGAAACATTCTTATATTTTTTAAATATTGAATGTTATTATTTAGTTAAATTAAAAGAAAGAAATCCATGTGCACCCTTGCTTTTGCCCGCGACTCCGTCCGCGCTTAAAAAATAGATAGTAGCCGATTCTCAGACTTACTGAATATGCATATAAAATTTCATAAAAATCTGTCAAGCAGTTTCAAAGGAGTATGATAACTATCATTGTGACACGACAATTTTATATATAACTAGCTGTCGCCCGCGACTCCGTCCGAGCGGGATTAAAAATAGATGTTGGCCGATTCTCAGACCTGCTTAATATGCTCACAAAATTTCATGAGAATCGGTCAAGCCGTTTCGGAAGAGTATGGGAACGAAAATTTGTGACACGAAAAATTTATATATCAGTGAAGATAATTGTGTACCCATTTTAATGGAATTGCACGAACAGATAAACGTAAAATTTGATAAGGTAAAAGGTACAGGTGGTGAAAAAGTGCATAAAGCTATTAATCACAAATGAAAAAAAAAATTATGAATAATGGTAAAATTTCAACCAATAGGCGAACACTATTAATCAAGTCACAAAGGTGAATAAACGAGAGAAATGAATATAGTTCGTTATAGGGAAATGAAAACAACTACTATGCCGCCAAAAAGTCTCCGGTGGTCTGCTTTTACTGGAATAGTGCTTTATTTTTGTTGTATAAATCCCGGGTGAGGTTACCCGTAGCGTGTGAGCGATGAAGGCAAAGGTCACAATCGACCGGATGTCTGCCTTTGTCTTGTGAGATAACATTTACCCTGCCCGGCCAATGTTTGTTGACAATGCTCTTGTTTATCGATGCAACATTGAAACTTATACCAACATCATTATACTACAGGGAATTTAATTATAAACTTAATACAACATTATAACGTATTTCTGTTAAGTTATAAATATAAGTAGTAAGATGGTTAAGTTAATTAATTAAGAACGTTGAAGTTCAATTGTTGTTTTAACTTTTATTATAGTTTGAGTTGAAACATTATAAAAGTTTCCTTTTAACTATACCAGAGCGTTAGGCGTTTTTAATTAGTTTGTAATAATGTATTGCGAAAGATTAAACAATTTAATATTATGAGGGAGTGATATAACAGTCAAAGCTAAGATAGACTTATACATAAGCATATATATGCTACGTTTTGCTACGTATGTACATTATATTTTTTGTGCTTATAAATCTTACTTGTTACTTAATATTATAAATGCGAATGTTTGGTTGAATGTTTGTTTGAAGTTATATCCGGAACGGCTCAACGAATTTTGATGACATATGAAACATACGAAAACATAGTCTGGGAGAACACATAGGCTATTTATAAAGTTTTTTTTAATTCCGCACGGATGGAGTTGCGGGCGACAGCTAGTATTATATATAAGATTCTCATATCACAATGTTAGTTACCATACTCTTTCGAAACTTTTTATATACATGCTAAGCAGGTCTGCGAATCAGCTACTATCTTTATTTTAATTCCGCGCGGATGGAGTCGCGGGCGAAAGCAAGTATATACAGTTGTCACCGTAACCCGTCATTTAAAGCAGAAGCGCTTTAAAGCACTTTAACTTATGCAAATTTAATTAATCAAATGTGTTGAGAAACAAGAAATCGTAAATTATAGCAACACCATTCCCTTTTGCATGTAAAATGTTCGACCTTCAGCTACACGCTGGCGCAATGAATTTTTCGCAAAGCCCTTGAATTATTAAAGCGAGTTGACTTGTTTAGAGGAAACGGTTCCAGTTCTAATACACATACGAAGCCGAGCTCGTTCCTTTAACTTTATAATTTAATATATTACGTATTCAATAAACACGGTAAATACATTTTAATGTTAGCGTACAAAAGTTCTCAGGACATAAGTGGGCGTTATCGCCAATTATGTTAGAATTAGTATGAGATTTATGTTGTTCTTTACGCCCGATAGGGGCGCTGCACAAATTTTAATACAAATGTTGTCGATAACGATACCATAGCGATGACAAAAAAACAAATAGCACTTAATAGACATCTCTGCGAAGATTCATCGCTCTCTGAGAACTTTGAACAATAAGAATAGAGTCGTGCTTAACTTTAAAATAAAACATGATGTTTTGTCGCTCGGCATTGCATCACATAAAACTATTTACGTCTTAATTTCTCTGGCTGTTGTACGTGTACCTCCAACGCACGTAACTTTGAGGTTATGTGGCATATTGTCTTTATCTACGCAGCATGGAAAAGCTAACGCAAAGCTTACGCCTCCGCTGTGTTGCGTTGCTTTCTTTTTCGGCGAACTTGTCATAAATGAAATATAAAAGTCATGCAGCAAAATATTTACTTTGCCTTTTCACATTTATAATAGCAATACTAGTTAAATCTATTTAATTTCAGATGAAATTCGAGTGTTGATCTTCATATCACTTTATGCCAAAAGTGAAAAATATTCTGTTTTTTTTCTATGAAATTGATGAATTGTAGAGATTTTTTATTCATTCATATTCTATTGAGAGGATTTTCATATAAGTATTGAAATGAAAAAGTCAAAAGGTACGTACGCGCGCGTGTTTGAAAGGCTGTTTTATGTTAGAAGCGAGTCTCAGTAGAAGCTCGTTATTTTTTTATTAATGTTCCTCGTGGTGCAACTTGAAACCTCTATATTGCTCTCAATACTAGCCGGTGGAAAATTATGCTGACCTTTGATTTTTACCGTCATTTTATACTATGAAGATCGCATAATATAAGAATCTCTTTGTAGAATATCGTGTTGCAATCAGAATGTCGGATGTCGGATCTTGATGCAAATCAAGCGATCGAATCAACTTAGTTCAGACTTGGATTTTTGCAAATGCATTTCCTGTGCTATTCAAATCTCTGATTTCAAAGATTCAAAGGTAAAAATTTTGGTTACATTTTATTTCAAACCTTAAAAACTCCAGTGCAACAAAATAGTTATTTTTATATTTGTCATATGAATGAGTTACTATATGAAAAAAATATACATGTTATAACTATAGATATTTAAAATAAATTACATATATTTTTTTTATAATACGCACAAAATGAAACAAATCAAATTTACTAGTAAAACAGTAGAAAACCGCAGCATACCAAATAATTACGAAGACATGATACATTAAAATTTACTTACAACATAGTTTATTATGAAAATGAAATAAACCAGGTCCGAGAATTTCTTAACGTTGCTTGACAATATTTCCGTCAACATTCCAAATTAACACACTTACGTATATTCTTCGCATTATTTTAAAATAAGTTTAGCTAATTTAATTAGTATACCCATTTTCTTAATCGCTAGTCGAAATTCTTACAAATATTATAAAAACAAATTTTTGGATGTATGCATGGATGGATGTTTGTAAGATGGTATCTCCAGAACGGCTCCATGGATCTCGCTGAAATTTGGCATAGATGTAGAGCATACTATAAAAGAAAACATAGGCTACTAATTAAGTTTTTTTAATTCTGCACGGACAGTGGCGCGGGCGTCAACTAGTGTTTAAATAATTAATTATATTGGAATAATAAGTACGTTGACATACGGTACAACCAAATAGGTAAAGGACTCTTAATATAAGTAGGACTCTTTTGTGTCCTTTAGGGGATTTACCTGGCTTATCAATATCGTAAATCCAAAGTGCTTAGTAATGAGCAGAATATTAATATGTTCTCAATAAGATAACATACACTTATGCCTCCTTCCAATTCAAACCCTTGACCGTAAACAAACTGCTCAATACCAAAAAAAGTTGGTAAATTACAAAATAAAATTATGTATTTTATATCACAAAATCACCTTCATTTTATCACACAACTAGCCATCCCGCGCGACTCCATCCGAGCGGTATTTAAAAAAACTTATTTAGTATCCTACGTATTATTCCAGGCTATGTTCTACATCTATACCTACATAATTTCAGCGAGAATTATGGAGTCGTTCTGTCTATACCTTCTAACATCTATCCATCTATCCATACATATAAACATTCACATTTATAATATTAGTAAGAAGCGAGATTATCACAGAATAACTGAAAAACTGATATAACATAATAGCAGCAACATATTAAATTGGACGTTAACATTTTAGATTTAAGCGTGGAAGCGAAACTAGCTAACTTATAAGCATTTAATAGTGCATACACGGACCGTAGTGGCGTAAATTGTTGTGTAAAATAATTGCACGACCGAGTTGACTCTTCACAAAAGTTGGTCGAGTGGATGAGTCGTATAGTTTTCGTTAATTAGCTCAACGAGGTACCTTCACATTGTTTCTATTTTACTGAACATGGAACAAACCCTAGCACTCGCGTATGCACGCTAACAAGTGCACTGTCTACCGACTGTAAACAATTATGTATTCAATTTTAAAGCACTGGTTTTTTTTTCAGTAAGCTAGTACTTTACCAAGAACTATTTATAATCTAATTAAATATTTACCATAGCCACAGGATACGAGAGGTTGCAACAACAAAAACATAATATTCCCACCATGTACACCACTTTCACTGAACGAAATTCATTATGCAAAAGCTTCGATATCGTCAGCGTCAAAATTGCCTGAAAAAAATAATCGTCAGTTTTAAATCAAATATTAATTAAAGTGGTGGGGGCACTAACGCGTCCTAGATAAACAAACTATTTTTACAGTTAAACTTATATCAGAAGTCCTAGGTTCGAAATCTCTTCCGGGGAAGATGACAACATAGCGTGGTCCCGGGTTACTATATTGTTTGAAGGTATGAGGAAACAGATTTCCTTACCGGGACCCCATACATTGATGTAGGGGTCCCGGTTCGTTCCATTGGAGATCTCGGGACCCTTACAGTCACTTGACGATGGTCATCGAGGGGGTTTTAGTGAAAAGAAATTTCACATAACCCTGTCTTTCCCTCGCAAAGGCAGGGTACACTTTTGAAAATTTCTCCCGGATACTCAAAGAAAAGATTCTAAATCTCTAATTTTTGATTACACAAAAAAAACTATATATCATTCCGTTTTATCAGACTTTTACATTATATCTAATTAAATAAATAAAAATATTTTATTGAGGTTATTTAATAATTCGCATTTGATAGCTGCCAGTCTCATCCCTTGGGTATTGAAATAAAACGTATATTTGTTTTGTTCAATAGCTTAATACGTTGAGTACAGTGGACAGAAGACCCCCAAGGGATGTAGTAAGAGGCAACAAAACGATTCGGTAACTTACAAAAACTATTGTTTCATTTATTTTTTCTTTATTTACTTGTAATAAACATATAAATGCACGTGCACATGTAAATAACCATGGGTGGTTATCGCATATCGTATCAAATTTATGGATGGATTAAGAAATATTTACTAATATCATAAATGCGAAAGTTTATTTTGACGGATGGACAGATGGATGTTTGTTAGAAGGCATCTCCGAAACGGCTCAACGGATCTTGATGAAACTTGGCATAGATAGAAAAGATAGTCTGGAAGAACACATAGGCTATTATTTTTATTAATTACCAGCGGACGGATCTAAGGGCGACAACTAGTATTTCCTAAAGTACAATATTACTTAATTTATATTTACTATATTTATTTACTTATTATAAATATTAAATATAGATATTATTTAACTTACAATGAAAGCCTTTAGCACTTTTATATAAAAATGCAATCGGCTTCTAGTTTTAAATAAACTTTTATTGTCAGCTTAATAAGAGCTTTGTGTTACAATGGATCTTACAAAGTATGAATGATGGAAGAGGGACAATTTTAAAATTAACTCTGCTACTAGAAGAGGGGCCGAGACTGACAATAATAGGAACTATATAGTTCGTTGTAAAAGAAGATAGCCCAATGTACGATGACCTCTTTTGTGTTTCACTTAATAGCCGAGTATACATTATTGTCTAACGACATTTATTTATCGCTAGAAAGAAAGAAAATGCTCTATGGAAACTACAAAGAAAATTAATTCAATGCTGTCACTGATAAGGTTAATGGTAAATTATACAATTAGTTACCATCGTTTAGAAAAATTACTATTAAAACCATCTATAATTTATCCCTTCTTTTCGAATTTATGCCTCAAAGAGCTGCTTTTTATTTAACTTACTAATATTATAAATGCGAATGTTTATATGGATGTGATGTGGATGGATGGGTGGGCTACACTTATTAAGTTTTTTTATATATCCACGCGGACGGAGTCGCGAGCTACAGCTAGTTTTTAATAGAAATGTTAAATTGCTATTTCTTATTGGCCTCAACCCAGTCATGTGGGTTGGCACAAGATTTTTAAAAACCTTAAGATTTTGGCTTTTTGCTATGGCCGGTCACCTGCCTGCCGCCAACCCTACTCGAAAGGAATTTTAAATACAATCTAGAATATAAAAATACATCAACAACAGACATAAATAATTAAACGCTATAAATAGAACACAATTTTAGGCTACTACCGTGGTACTGTCATTATCAACCTGCCCTTATCCCTATTGAGGGTCGGCACAGTATGTACTACTCCACCATACATCTCTATCAGCCGTCATATCTTCACACAGTCATTCCATATTTTTTTTGGTCTTCCTCTACCTTTGTAGCCACCCAAATTCTCATTACTTTTTTGCTTATATCATCATCATCCATCTCTCATCACCTCTATATTAAATTTTAAATTATTACTAAGATTAAGATGAAACTTACCAAATAGGCGCTTAATGAGCACATTACACTGAGGAATATGTAGATTGTAAAAACTTTTTGCACATGCAAAAATTCTGAACTCAGTGGTAGTACAACAAACAGTAGATAGTGGGATGTGATCTCTGTGTTATCTCTAATACATACAGTCAATGCCTGATACAGTACACGTACTATAATAGATCTTGCTAAAGCGAACGTTGTGAAAATTATTCCAAATATCACCACAGCATTATCGATCATAGTGTGAGGGGACATAGTGCCAAAATCGTAAACACCGACCAGTCCAATGCCAAACGCAAATGTTATGCGGTCGATCGCTGACGTCTGAAAAGGAGATTGGCCTCGTTAATAAATCTTACTAATATTATCTTACTTCTAACTAATATTACAAAATACGAATGTTTGGATGTATAGATGTTTGTTGGAAGGTATCTCCAGAATGGCTGCATGAAGTTGAAATTTGGCATAGATGTACATAGCTTGGAAGAACGCTAATATGAGTCGCGGGCTAGTACAATAATACAATAAAGAAAATGTATGAAATGCTTAGTTTCATTTCCTAAATACAACAAGATTTATAACAGAGAAGTTACAAGTTTCGACCGGGTATACAAAACAAAGATAAAATCAATGTATTAGTTACCAAGTTTTATTATTGTATAAAATAAAATTATAAAATCGTACGAAATGAAAACTAAAAGCCGCAATATCAAAATGCAGCAAAGCGACTATGATCGTTTGTGCAACTTATATCACATAAATCGAGTTTACTTGGATTTATGCGGAAAATTTGCGTTAGCCGGTACTTCGCAGACGTTGAAGCTCGACGTATCTTTTGAAGTAAATGTTGGTTAAATAAAATGCTATAAACAAGTTTTCTTTTGGTTTTATTTTAAAATATAAAGGCATAAAAGCAAAATTTTTCAACAGATTAGAGATAGTAGAAAAGTTTGTCTGTCTGAAAGTAACTCCAGAACGACTGAACAGATCTAGATGAAATTTGGCATACATATAGAACATAGTCTGGAAAAACACATAGTCTAATAATTAAGTATTTTTAAATACGCGTAGACGGAGTCGCGGGCTACAGCTAGTTGATAGATTCCATTTAATTTCATTTTAAATGAAAACTTTAATGATTATACAACTGTCAATTACAATTATTTTATTATAAACAGCGCTTTGATTGAAGAAGTTCGCATAAACGACGCTTATTAGATTCTCTTTGAGCACGGAAACGGGCGTAGATATCAATTTCATAGTATTAATAAACATTCTGATATATTTTACCTTCAACGTCTGCAACGAGCACTTTAACTTCATCTAAATAATTAAAGTTGAGTGAAATGTCTTAATAATTCAATTAATGGTGTTACTTATAGTAAATCACAACTAAATAAGGAATAATTTTTAAACAAATAATGCAATTGTAAGTTTGAAGATACTTTAGTTTTATGTGCTTGTACATTAGGGAACATACCCATACTACATGACCTATTTTTTTAGTTATTTTGACCTCTCCCTCCCCTCGGTGACCACTCGTAGTAAGTGCCAAGACCCCCTTTACTTTTTTCGTAGTAATTCATAATTATGATTTTTAATCATGTCACAGGCAAAAATTGATAAATAATCTGGCTCATACTCTTCTTTATAGCATAAGACTGCATGCCTATTTAAATTACTAGTGAATTATGTATTATGAAAAATAACAACTAACGACTACGTGACAAAAACCTGAGCCCCACCCCCACCGACTGACCGTAGTATTGTAACGGGTCACGTACTATGGGTACGTTCCCTTAGTAGCTTTCGGCCGCGTCCGACCAAAAAAAACCTTAATACCTAGCCTATGTGTACTTCCACACTAAGTTCTACATCTGTGCCAAATTTCATTACATTACATGGATATCGCTGAAATTTGGCGCTGAAATAGATATAGAATATAGTCTAAAAGAACACATAGACTACGAATTAAGTTTTTTAACCCCGCGCGGACAGAGTCGCAGGTGATAGCTAGTTTTACATAAATCAAAAGAGATTCAGATCACACAAACTACACTAAAATGGACAGCAATTGAGAGATTTGAATTCAGTATAAGACGATGCAGAATCAACACAAAATGAGGCGACTGTAGATATAGGCAATGGAACGGATCTGACGCAAACTAGCACAGAGAAATGTGAATTACAAGGCGACGAATTCAGACTCGAGTACATTGCACTCCAGAATGAATTGTGCCGTAGATAGAAACGGTCCTTTTAAATCACAAAGAAGGATGAACGTTTCCCTACTTCACGGAAAGTCGCTTCAACGATTTTTCATTTGTAATAGTGAATTATTTAATTCCTTTTAAATTGACTATTGCATTGTGACTTACCATTTGACTATAATATTATATTTAATTAGATGAAATAAGAATATAATATATTAATATAAATTAACAAAATACAGTTGCGTCGCATGTTCAATCGTCTTTTTTAAAACAATTTCGTACTTGACATCGCATTAAAAATACAACTTTACATTTCTTTTAAAAAAAGGACTATGATGTTACAAGAATATCTATACAATGAATACATTAAAACGATGTACGCAAATAAATATATTTCTTATCATAAATAAAATAATAACAATTCCTATTCAGTAAAATGACTTACGTATACTCGAGGCGCTGTGGCATCAAACATTTGACTAATGGCATTCGTGAAAAAGTATTCCGTATAAAATAACGTGAATAATAGAACGAAAACTGTTGAGAATGTCCTCCATAGCGTTGATATTCTGACGAGCTGGAATGAGCAAACAAACTTTATTTCACGGTTAGCTCATATTCAGTGTTTTTCTATTAACTTTGTCCACGTCTTTGCTAAACTATTTTTATGTTGAGTATGCGAGTCTATAACTCTATTTCCTTTATGACAATTTTAATGCAATTTAAATTAAAAAAATGTGTACACCCACAAACAAATTTTGGAAAAAAATCTATATATCTATATAATCGAAAGTCGTGTTAGTTACACTATTTATAACTCAAGAACGGCTTTACCGATATGGCTGAAAATTGGGGAGAAGGTAATTTAGAGCCAGGAGACGGACATAGGATTTTATTCCTTTTATTTTCGAATTTATGCCTTGAAGAGTTGCTTTTTATTTAACTTACTAATATTATAAATGCGAATGTTTAGATGGATGTGATGTGGATGGATGGCTGGGTGGGGTACACTAATTAAGTTTTTTTATATATCCACACGGATAGCGTCGCGGGCGACAGCTAGTATAATACATAAGGCATGAGTATTAGTATAATACTATATGAAAATAGTGTATTCATGACATCAATTTAATAAACCAACATAGTTTTAAAACTTTACTATTTGAGTTCCTAAGACCAAAATGCCCTTTAAAACATGCTTTGTTTTTTATAATGACTGATATTTTTGTCTCAGAAACCAACGTAGAATAACGTATTATCTTATTCAGATTAATTAATTAATTAAAGAACGTAAACCTGAAAAAAGTTACCTTAATAAGAGTTGTGTCTGTCATAGTGGCTAAAAAAAAATTTATGATCCAAACAAGAGTTATAACAAACAGTCTTGAAGTTAATTCATGTTTGTCGGAATTAAAATACGAATCGCTGAAACATTGAATTATAATAATGATCAGAAGAAAACAAAATGAAATCATCATTCACCATAATAAGAATTCTTAAATTCACGAAAACTTGGATATAATTAACATAGCTCTTTAATCGTAATATCCAATAACTTTGACATATTATATAGAAAACACCTCAGTTACATATCAAATGATAAATAAATGTCAAACATTTCCATATCAATAAAAGTTATTTTCACGTTTAAGAAGAACCTTCAAAAGTTTCTTAGAAAGTTAATTCACAAAATATAATATGATCCGTAAAGATCAAAGGATGGGTACAAAGTAAAAGTTAGAAATGACAAATTATTATAACGAAAGGAACATTATTGCTCGTTTCCACGGTGCGTGATTCTGTGGACAGACGAAGACAATGAATACGATGCATACCGACTTAGTTTTGAACTTTGAGCTGAAATATTTAATGTCCGTGGTTGTCGACCGTGCTGGTCCAGAGAAGCAAACACCTTAAAACGCGCCCCTTAATTTTGTACAACTCATTGGGACGTTATTTGCTTTACATATAAAAAACTTACTGATAATTGACACTGGCAGACGTTTCGTTTAAGTTTGTCTGGTTATTCATTCTACAATTGAGAATAATATTAACGGTAGGCACACAAATCCGATGGTGTTTGTTGCACTTTGACCATGGCGGGATAAAGTGGAACCCGGCGAAGAAATAACGTATTGCATCTGCTAAGTCACCTGCTAACTAAACATTAATCAACAATTAAAGTCGAATAATAAAAACGACAAACGAGGAGGTAAGCTGCTTCTACAAAATCTTTACTCCGCAACTATGAGACTTAAAAGAAACCTCTCATAGCATTGAGAAAATTATAATGCCATAATCTCTTTCTCCCTCTTGTTCTCTTTTCCTCTCTCTCTCTCTCTCTCTCTCTCTCTCTTATTCTCTATTTATATATATGTCTGATAAAACTAAGATCACATGTATGATAATCTTTTAACTGTACCATACCAACACTTCCAACAATCAGATCCTTCATTGGTGTGGTTTCAAAAAATATTTCAAGTTAAATGTAAGGCTTACAATAATATTCCAAAGCAGTGATTGCAGCACACAGCCCATATGAATACCCCTCAATAAAGGGTTCAAATATTGATAACAATCGATTCTTCTTGTATATTGCTTGATGAATAAATCCATAAACATATAAGTTATACCCATTGTTATTTCCAGAAATATGAAATCGACAATTTTAACTGAAAGTCCAGGTTTATTATTCTTAGCATATATTTTTTTTATTATATAATATAAGGTGGCAAACGAGCGAGCGGCCACCTGAAATCGCTGAAATAGCGAAGTGACCGTTGCCCATAGACATACGCAATTGCCTATACGTTGCCTGCCTTTAATCGACGGAGGAGAGGATGCACAGAGAGAAAATATCTTCCCTTTCCATGCATCCTCTGATCCGGAAAGTCCACTTTCACTTCCCCACCTTTCCTTATAAGAAAAACGGTGGGATTTTCTTATAATATTAACACAGTAATATTGTTATAGCAGAAAATAAAAATGTTGCTTATCCCGTATTTAGACCTACTGAAATCATTATACTTTGCTACTAGAAAGTTACTTTCATCAGTTCGCAATGATTTTTTTTGTCTAGTAATGCAATCATTAGTTTTATAAAATAAGGAACACGTACCTCGATCGTATAACACTTTTGAGAATATATCAAAATTATAACTTGAAGAAGCAACCGAAAACGCAAGGAAAACGAATTGTTTTATACTGTCCCATCGAAAATGTTTGTGTACATAGCTGTCCTGTAAATAATATGATACAGTCAATTCTTAACAGTCAGGCAGCGAGGGCGTATCTTGATTTTTTCAAATGCTCCAAAACTGGTTTTGTCGATAATTCCCATTTCTTCAACCACGTAAGGACGAATATGCCTAATTGCTCTACTTTTCACGCATTTTTATAATTTGAATTTAGAATTATCTATTCTAAAATTTAAACTCTTAATGATACCAAAAACCAGCCATAGATAAATCAAAACACTACTTGCCAGTATTTTAATAAAAAAATTGGACAATAGATTGATAAGCTTTGGAATAAACAGAAATATTTTTTACTGATACCCCCAACTAGAACTAGCTTAGATGAAAGGGCATTGGACTATAAACTTACGCTTTTATCGTGTACAGAAGAAGTACTTATGTGTAAATCAGCACCGGTCATATCTGCAAAATTATCAGGTACTCTGTAAAAAAAAAAAAGTCTTTACTATTCTGCTTATCTCTCACAGTAAATTATGGTTTACACGTATCGTAACTCGTGCGTAAATTTAGTTATCAATTAGCCTTATAAATATAAAACAGAAAGGTAATGTGAAATGATTTAATTTATATTATTAATCATTAGTTAGGAAAATGTTTCAAACGAGATGCCCTGAAATAAGCTTCTGAGAAACACTTTACATTGCTTAAATAATTTTCTTAGTAAAATTAAGACAAAACTCGAGGCCAATAACATCACATTTAATATCAAATGTATTTCAGAGTTCGTTGCCTTAATTAAATAGCAAAGGTGAATTCGAAATATCAATATGTAAGCACATACCAATCAGTAGCATGCAAATGTTTGCTTCAAATTCGAGTCTGCATCGAGTTAGAGGAAACGAGAGAATACGAGGGAATTTTGCATTGATATTTCCACACCAAAATATCATAAACTAACCATGAAAATTGAGTTATATATTTTCCTACCAATTAAATCTAACTCTACTAATTAGAGTAACTAATATAAGTACTACGACATTGTTATAAAGATACGAAGTAGACTAAAATTGTTTCGAAAGTGCCTAAAAGTCATACTCATATTTCTTTGTCTTTTTCGAATAGATAAATCACTTAACTTCAATGGCTGTGTACTTCTCGTTTGTGTTAAAAAAAAACATTATTTTAGAGATTAATAAGTAAACATCTTTCATCAATTGTATGCGTATATAAATATAAATACGTTTAAATATATAAATATTTTAAATTCAACGAAGCGAACGTTTCTTTTCAAATCGTCTCTCAACGAGCGCCTACCAAGTTCAAATACACATGAATTGACAGCAATCCGGACGATATATTTGCTCCGGAAATATTCTATTGCACCGCGCCTTCAATGAGATATTTGCTTTTGCCACCGTGCTTCCGGATTTGAATTTTTAAAAATTCTATCTTCCTTGCCGAGTGCATACCTTCATTTTATTCTACAACTTTAGATGCTTGAATGTAGGGCTCTCAGCAATCTCTAGACGATGACATCGTTGACTTGAATAAGTCAAACTTTATAAGCAAGCTCTTTCAAGAGAATAACCCTAATAAAGCGGTTTGCAGTTTTAATTTTGTAACGTGATATTTGTCGTCATTTTATTATAAACAATAATTAAGTTATTTTAAGTTGTTAAATTCCCCACTATAACCTCTCGTCTCGAATCGGTCAAAACAGACTTTAAATAAACGTGTTAAAATGTGTGCTGCTGCTTAACCGGACCGGACTTTAATCTAAAACGTCCAGGTTCGTTTATCGCCATGTACATGTCTTTTCAATTTCTTATGTCCATTTATCCGGAGTTCTTATGATGAAGGCAAACATCATGATGTGACCTGTTTATTTCGGCAAAGAAACTCTATGTGTGAAGTCAACCAACCTACCCTGGGCCACCGTGATTGACTATAGCCTTGTCACACCTAAAGATCACCTGAATCCTCCGAGCCCCTCAGGCGTATACAAACGCTGATGCGTTAAAATATGAGAAATTAGTTGAATTTCAAATACGGGATATTCTATTTCTGATGCCTAATAATTATAATTATAAAAAAATTTCAGCCATGATGTTTTTTATTATAAAAAAAAATAAAAGCAACATTAAAAACAAGTTACACGTAATAAGAAGAGTATTTAGTCAAAGATCGAAGAACGCAAAGTAAAGGTTTTCAAATTATAGGGAGCAGATAATTTGCAGGTTCTACTTTTTTATAAGAACAATTAACTTAATTATAAAGGCGTTAAGCACAAAAGAATAGATTAAAAAAAAGAAAAATCATTCACTGAATGATAATGAAGTTGAAATACAGTTGTAGTTTTTTGAATATAATATGAAGGGACTTATTATATTTATTTAAATATTTTGATATTAATTTAACCTTTATATTGCAGTAAATTTATTTTATATAGATATTTTTTATTATTGAAAAGACCTATTCAACATATCTGATTACAAAATCAACATAATCTCTTTGTTTTAGAATTACTCACGACGTAGATTAAACTTTTTACCTGACAACAAACGATTTTTCTACTTGTAGTATATTTGCTTTTGAATCAGTTCAAATACAGCGCTCGATTCTCTGGACTTATGGCTAAGGGCTGACATACACGGACTACTTCAAGAAAACGAAACTCGCAGCTTCAAGTCGGCGATCTATAAGTATTTGATGTTCAGTATACAAGGATATTAGTAGCCGCTGTTTATTTACAATATATTTGTACACATTGAACTTTAATATAGTATTTATGTGTGAATTTATGTGTGAAGTGGAAGGTGTAAGGCTTACAAATTACCTCCTCTGTATATGATATGGTTTAGACGCAATTGTATTTTGTAAGAAAAAACCCCACTTTGAGCAATTTTTATTCCTCAAATAGTTTGTACGGAAGCTTCTTAAAGAATTATCTTTCTTTAGTATGTACTTTCCAAAATATTCGTAGGAGGATTACGATTGAAAATGAATTGTATAAAATACTTACCTAATTCGACATAGTATTTTATTGATATTTATTAAACGCCGTGAAGTTTAAACTTAATTTAACTTCGAATTATTCTTTACACATTCATCAAAGAAAGTAATAAAATATTTTCTAAACATAACAAGTATTTTTAATAACTAACCGTCTAAAATAATGCTTTGACATATCGCAATGTAATGTCATGATATTTATTCAGGCATTGTCAAATTGTGATCAATAGACATTCTTTTTTGTTTCAAAAAGTTTTATAAATGCATACATTATAAATATTGACCACTATAGGTATGGACAGGTCGTTGCTTGAAACGACAGCTTTGACTTAATTATGACTTAAAAACTCCTCCTGGCGTTACCAGTTAAATCTATATATTTTTAGTTCCAATACTCACCACCCATTCCACTAGCTATCATCGGCACCAAAATGAAAAATATAGACGCAAATACCACGATTTGTGGCTTCTACGGTGGATTGCATAAGTTAATAATTAAGCTATGTTAGTCGTTTTAAAAATGCGCAAACAATCTGTAGACTTTTTTTACGGAGCAAAAAGTTATCTGATCCAGTGTGCATAAGTCAAACTAAATTATGATAGCTCCCTAGCGACCTCATAAACGTCTAAAAAGTTTCACAGGTTACTTGCCTAAACAAAAAGTTTCATAAGGATCTTGTCGCAGTCGGATAATAAGTAAACTAACAATGTCATCTTGACTGCGACATATTTTGGCCAATAAGCGGCAGATGCAATTTTAATGTTGCCATTTTCATAACAAATAATACTTTTCTTCTTTAATATATCTCTGCTCTTTTATATTCTATGTACATTTTACGTATTTTCTGACAGAACTAAACGCGATAGCAGCGCCTCTCTTTCAGCTTGTCAGGTCAGCTTGCCAAACTATTTTATATAAGTGACCGTGGAACTTCACTGTAGACACTGGTTTTAAGAAATACTATCATCTCTTTCATTCTTTTGGATTAAATAGAGACGATAATATGCATAAGTACAAGTGTCACTGCAGTCAAAATCCTAACAATCAATGTGTGTGTGTTTCTGCCTTATGCATTCGTAAACCACTGTATAGATTAAATGAAAGGAAGGGTGATATAAAGACTAGAGAAGGTTTGAGTTGTAAAATAAGAATGTATTTCAGATTGAATAACATTTTGCTTTGAATGTCAGATTGAAATATGAAACTTTACTTTTTTCTTCTTGTGCCGTAGCATCGCATGCAGCATTCGGGATTACATTCGGCTGTCTACCCAGGTGAAGCTTGGGGAAGATATTTTAGTATTTATATTACAATAAAGTTTTATATGGTTTATAAAATATTTATATCCATCATGATTTTTCACTCTAGTTTTCAATTGTTTTATAATTTAGATAGCAAATATAATAGCCAATCAAAATAAGTTAACCTGTAACTGTATCATCGTCATCATCTGCTCACTGTACGTCCACACTGAGGGAGCACGGAGCTTAAGTAAGACTTAAAAGTGACTAGGCCATAAACAACTACTCTGGCCAAGTGCGGGTTGGTTGACTTCAGACATATCTTTGAATTTCTTCGCAGAGATGTGCAATTGCATTACGATGTTCTCCTTCGCCGTAAGAACGTCGGATAACTGTCCATATGTTAATCAAAAAAACGAAAAACTCATTGGTGGGATTCAAACTCGCGACCTGCAGATTACAAGTCAAGAGTTACACCCATAAGCCATCAACGCTCTTTATACGTATAATTAAACCTAATTTGGATCTTTATAAAAGGGACCACTTTACACAACGTGTAAAGGATCAGTACCCGTTTCTCTTCTAGTAAATGCATTGTCATTTTAATATCAATACAATATTTTTCTCGGGTATTCTTGTTTGTGTTCAAGAAGCACTCGATTTCAGTGGCCTCTTACCGTAGCATAGCATGTGTTGACGTTGTTCTCTCAACTTGAATCATATTTTATATAGGAAAATGTTCTATTGTCCTTTTAAGAGCAAAATACAAACTCCATACAGGTTAAAGTATACAATATGGACATAGGCTAGTCTCAAAAAATATTTAATAGCCTTTTTTGGTAATAGTGGCTATGATACCATAGCGCTGGATATCGTTAAATAATATCACTACAGTAACATCATTGAAAATGATAAGTATTACATTCCTAACTTGTTTTAACATTTTCAGCGAATGACGGCATGAGTTCTTATACTTTATGCTACTTCTTCTTTATCAATTAACAAACATACGTATTTTTAAGGATTGCTAAATGAAACATTGATATCCAAAAATCAAAAAAAGGAATATATTTCTAAAATGTTTGAATAAACATTACATAAATCATGAAAAACCACACAAATTGAAAATCTTAGTGATACTAATACATAAAAAAAAGATAAAAAAAAAGTTTATTCATTCCGGCGAGGAGTGAACACAGCTGAATATGGCTTGGGAGCCGAAATCAAACCGATTATCGGTTCTGCCGAAGGGAAGACGCCCTCGATGGGGTCGACTTTAAACTTCTGCAGGATGCCAACGAAGACGATGAAAATAAAGGACTTTGCCAAAGTATCTCCAGGGCAACGGCGGCGACCTGTTGAAAAAATATCTTAGTAAATTGATGGCACATATATAAATAAAAAAATATTTTCATTAAAAGTAATGGAAATAAGCACCGTAAAAACTGTAAGGACTAAAAGTCAAATGAAGAACTCAAAACTCCTATAAAATTGCATAAAACGACTGCTGGAAAAATGTGAAAAAATCGCAAACATGCACGAAACTTCAAATTAAATTTGCGCTCATGAACTTTAAAAAAAGAAAAAAGGCTCGATCTGACCGCTTTCTAAACTCCGACAAAAATTGCATTTGCAGAAATTTTTCACTACAGCTGAGTGTAAAGCATTTTAAAAGTAAACAAAAACCAGCGTAACTTGTAATGTTTTTAAATTTCATCCTTTTAAAATTCATACGTAGCAGTAAGATTTGATGTAAAAACGTTTTTGCATTGAAGACTAAGCAGATATAGGTTAGGAGAATTTTTCGAATATTGCTCAAGATAAAAATGAAATAGAAATTCGCCTTCCACTTATTTTAAATCCGCAAAGCGCACAGCAGAGCAAAATCATTAGGAATATTATAAATAAACAAAAGTAATCATAGCCACACTCGCGTCGCTAGAATTTTTATCAGATGATAAATTCTGTGAAGAAAATAATTCTTTGCACTATGTTTAAAATTATTCATTTTATCAAGACTGACATTTTTCTTCGCACTTTGTGTACTTACCTTTAAAGCCTCATTAGCCTTATTTTACTGAAATACTATTTCCTGTATAACACAAATGAAAGTTAAAAATTGAAACTCACCTAAGCCAAACGGATACAAATGTTCGACATTTTTCAATGTGCCTCGTGGATCTATAAATCTTTCCGGCTTAAATTTTCTCGGCTCGCACCATATCCTCGGGTCAACATGTAAATCACCAACTGCCATGAGTACTGTCGTTTCTTTTGGTATAAAGTACCCATCTATGTATGTATCATCAAGAGTACGCCGAGGACCCATCAAAGGTACGATCGTGTAATAACGGTAGATTTCTTGAATGAATGCATTGGTATAGAGGAGTCTGTGCAAAAAAAACATGAATTTATTAACAAATGTGGTTAGTAGGGGCTATCATTTTTCGGGTATACAAGGATCTGAATTACTTCAGCTTAACTTAGCAAAGAACCCATATTTGAATTGCAATCCATAAAGGATTGAACCAAATTGCCGAAGACGGCGTTTATATTTGAGTTCAATAACGATGAGGGTACCGTGACATTTTTAAAGAATAATCACATATTTTTACTATTATATTCGTATTCTCGAGGAGCCTGAAACTAGGAGATGCTTACACCAGTCTCAATTTGAGATTAAGGTCCAAATAAAATTAATAATTGTTTCTTACTTGGTGGTCAGATATTTTGCGTTCCTAGGACCTATAACTTTAGTTGGTATGAAGTGGGAGATGTACGCATTTGGTAATAATTGCGCATTTGCAAAAGTTTTAGAAGTATTTACTTCATGGTAAATTGTAAAGACCAGTCACAGTTTGTTTGACTCGGAGTAGACTTAGGGTAGGCTCCGAGACCCTCGGTGGGGACGTATAGTGAGCTGATGATGATGATGAAATTGTAAAGAAATTATGAAATTGTAAGTATATTACAATATGTACTTTATACTAATTAATTATACGAATTATTATGTAATTCAAACCAAAATAAATTAAAGTAAGCTGCAGTATAACGAGTACCAATCATTTTGATAAATTAATGTTGCACTGCAGATATTACAAACGGTCGCATTGAATATGTTCCAGGGATTAATCAAAATATTCTCATAGTAACATGAACGTTGATCAGGGCTTGACAAAAATTAAACAGACTGCTTAGAATTGTTCCTACAACCCCATTAGGATAGGGTAAAATGAAAATCAAAGGAATGTTAAGATAGGAAAAGATGATAAAGAATTGTAACGTAAAAATTTTCTTCTTGGTAGATTGATGACCGGTGACCTAACATTTTCAGACTTACTTCGTCGTTTTTTTTATACTTATATCTATTGCTTTGCTGAAGCATGTATATATATATCGGTTGCGTAAACAAACGCAATAAAATTTATGGAACTGGAGGATTGAAAACATGATTTGGAATAGGCTTTTGATGTTTTAAAGATTGAATAGTTTTACATTCGTCTAAAATGAGGTCGTCTTTGTTCGATCAACAACTTCAGCTACGAATCGAAAAATCTATGCCGAGAAATTAACATATATTATACTGCATGGCCACTGGCTATGTTATGTATAATCGAACTAGCTTTGTATGGAAAATAATGCAATATTTAGACGATATCTCTTGTAATCCCAGCTACTTGGAAACTTATTTGAAATTCAAACATCTCAGTGACATATTTTCACACAACGGTTCATTCCACCAAATACATATATTTGTGGATCCGAGGATTGCAAAAGACTCTTACCATACGCAGCGATTACAATACGTTTTAAACAAAGATTTTGGTCTCAGAAATATACCTAAAACCGATTTGAAAACTTTTCAGTCTTTAAAGGCGTAACTAACATTTTAAGACCATCGTTATGAGTTAAATACAATTAATTTA